TTGTTAGAAAACGATATGAAATGTGAATTACTGATGAAACCAAGTGCACCGAGTCGACTAACCTACAGGAGACCACTGAAACCCATCAAACCAAAACCCATGGCGCTGCCACTGACATACACTATGCATGTAAATGCATGCACTAATTTGGAGTCTAGATTTGCCACGATCGCTCTGTTGATCAGCTTTAACGGGCGCTCGGGTGTGGTCAGATTGCCCCCAAAGGCTTTTCCAGAATGGTTTCCGAACGGCGCAGCGCAGCCGCACCAAATTTGGCATATCTTAGACAGCTGAATACAGGATCGTTTGGTGCGAAAAATTTAGATGTCCTTTGCAAGGTCACTGACCTATAGCAGGTTAAAATCAGGTCATGGATTCAGCGAAGTCAGTTTCTAGGGAATCCTTCAATCCGATCCAACAACGGAGTGTTAGACGAAACCATATACCTCTGAGATATTGTCTTAGGCAACAGAGAACTCAATGACCAAATTCCATTGACCTACGGTTAAGTATGAGGGTCAGACTAAGGGCAAGATCAACCTGTTTTATTACTCTAGGGCTTACTGTATGGGGCAGTTTTTCGTACTCATTTTGAAATTATTGATAGCAGGAACTGCATTGTACATCTTCCAAGGACTTGTAAAGGTCAGAATAGGTTACTGACCTGAAACGACCCAGGCCAACATTTTGTTTTTAGGAACAAACAGCCTAGCATAATATTTGTCGCTTATTCGACTCCAAAGCTCAAAGCAGTCTTGTATTATTTTGGTCACCATAACCTTCAAAAGGTCAGACAAGGTCACTGGACTTCAATGAGCATATGAACTTTTGCTTAGAACAGATATTTAGGGTTTGAGGGTACTTCGCAGACCTACCTGGAGTTTGACATTGTTTGACCTTATTTGACCTGAAGGTCTTGTCTTAGGAACCTTAAAATTTGATCTAAGTGAGTTCACATACAGCCCAACACACTCGGTAAATTTGGTGTATCTACCTCTCTTAATTCTTGAGACCTCAGGGGGGGGGGGGCAAATTGACTGCCCCCCCCCCCCCCCGAGCGAAGGGTGCCCAACCGACCATCCGGGCGGTGGCCGATTGAATACTTTTCGATCGGGCGGAGGTCGATTTGGCCCTCCTGAGATCTCAGAAATCAATGGAGCTAGACGCCCCCAATTCACAGGGTGTATTGGCTTGTACATGAACTTAATCATGTCAAAATTTGGGGTTCCTAGGACACCTTCGATTTAAATAAGATCAAATAAGGTAAAGCTCCAGATCGGTGTCTAGAGTGTTCCAGAACCTAGATACCTGTTCTAAGCAAAATATCACTGGTGGTAATTAAAGGTCAGTGACCTTGTTTGGTCTTTTGGAGGTCATGGTGACCAAAATCATACACGACTGCATTGAGTTATGCATCTGAATCAGTCAACGATGACGCTGGACAGCATGCTCCTAAAAATGCCGATTTACAAAATGCTTTATTTTAGGTCAGTAATCTATCATGACCTTTGAGAGGTCTGTGGGAGATAGTGATGCGAGTGCTGTTATCAGCTATTTCGAAATGAGTACCAGACACTATCCCATACAGCAAGCTCTAGAGTAATACAACAGTTTGGTTTTGACCCAGGTCTAGAGGGGGCACGGGGCCATGCTCCCCCTTGGGCCCCGAAGGGGCCCATTGGCTCCGAAGGGGTCCATTGCCAGCCGAACATGCGCAGTTTTTTAAACACAAAATGCAACAAAATTGGCATCTTTGGACTTGTAGGTGACCAAAAACAGTCGCTAGCGAAAGTTAAGAGCCCGAGAGTAGACAAAAACAAAACTTAAATTATTGAAAAGCTGTTATTTGGAGATTTTAAGCCTCATCACGCTGTCCAGGAGCCCTCTGCCGTTTCCGGGGGAATTTTATGCCCACTTGCAGGGTCATTCTAATCGTTAAGCAGCTTTCCACGATGCCCTTGATTTTTAGCATTTGCTTGGGGGGCGCTGCTCTGTTGCTGGGCCCTTCCCTCTAGGTTGCCGGTGCGCCCTTGTCAAACAGAGGCCCTCCACAGATTATTTCTATTCGCCGGAAAGGCTATGTACGCTATAGCTGGGGGCCATATGTTAACCTGCCGGGATATTCTGCCTTGCTCAGGCGCCCTTTATGTCGGCCGCGGTTCACCTACCGACACACTCATGATATGCTCATGGGCGCTGTACATTAGTCTAGGGCGCTTCCAATTCCCAGTGACTTGCTTAGGCCCTCCACTCATGCCGGGCGCCCTATCTGTTAACCTGCTCTGGCGCACTTGATCATTCGGGAGCCCTCCATATTGTGTAGTGGGTATTTCATCTTTGAACGGAAGGCCCTACGCTCTTGACGGGACCCCTGTCTGTTAACCTGCTCTGGCGCACTCGATCACTCCGGGGCCTTCCATGTTGTCTTGAGTGCTTGCTATTTGAATGGATGGCCCTACGTTCTTGGCGGGCCCCATCTATTAAGCTGCTCGGGCCGGTGGCGAATAAAGAGAGAGTGGGGGAAGGGGAGAAAGCACCAGACCATGCCCAATGAACCATAACAAAAGGACCCATAGGCTTCAAATTGGCCGATAACCGGCTGAACGGACGCACGTTCTTAACACACAAAAAGACAGAAAAAGTTTGACGTGTTTGAGCCTATAGACGACATAGGACGTGAACGAACGAAAGTGAAGAGTTTTTAAGCAAGGCAAATTTAAATCTTTGCCGATTGAAGGGGTGGTGATTGAGGGAAATTGTGGCAATCATTATGTTTTCCAGAGGACTTACGCTTTTGCCCGGGTCCTATATGTCCACTTACCGGGTCAATCTGATCGCCAAGGAACCTTCCACGTTATCCTTGATCTCTTAGCATTTTTCCATTTTTCCGCAGATGATCTCAACCCTACTATTGGGACACCATCTGCTTCCATGCCTGGGCACTCTTGATCGACCAGGGCCCCTCCACCGATTCTTCCTATTCGCCAGAAAGACTCTAGGCGCATTTTCCGGGGGCCCATGTGTCAAGGTACCCTAAGATGCTCAGCAGCCTTTCATATTAGTCTCGGGTTCTTTCCACTTGCTCGGAGGGCCTTGGGCTGTTGCTGGGGCTCATATAAGGTAAGGCACAGAGACACTCGATGCTCAGAGCCCCTCTACGTTGATCGAGAACTCTTTCCTCTTGATCTCATTTGCGGAGGACTCATCACTGTTCTTTCTGTTAACCTGCCCGGGCACTTTTGATCACACAGGGGTACCAATTCATGGCCTTGCAGAATTTCCGTTTGCTCAGAGGGCCCTGTGCTCTGGCCGGGGCCTTACACGTCAGACTGCCGGGGCACTGCCGATCGCTTAGGGGCACACTACGTTGGTCTTGAGTTCTTTTCACTTGCCCTGAGGACCCTATACTTGTTGACGGCATCCTCTTTGTTGGCCCCGCAGGACACCCATGATCGATCGGGTTCTGTCCCTATTAGCCTTGGTGCCTTATCCTCAGAGCAGCTGTCGTGTGTGCGCAGGTGAAATTTTACGCGCTTTTGTCGAAGGTAACTTAACGTGCTTCCGACGTCGTATGTGTCATTTCCCTTGGCGATTGAGTGTGTGACGCTTATCGAACTTGTGCATCACGTTCTTAACACATTTTGAATGCCAGAATATCTTGTATTCGTTTATCACAAATAAAAAATGTTATATTAGTTATCAGCCATCTGCTGATTATATCGCCCAGCTGGCTAGCCGTAAATAAGCTAGGAATCGAGCCAGCGCTTGGTTTAATGCTATTTAGCAGCAGACTTGAGTTTATTTTGCCTGTCTTGCCCGAGATACTTAGCCTCAAAATCACAAGGTTTAACGTGATCTGGTGAAAAGGAATGAGCTCCATGTATGTGTATGCATAATGTGCCCATCTTTAGCACAGTAAGATGGATTCCCTATTTGCTATATATATATATATATATATATATATATATATATATATATATATATATATATATATATACATACTGTTTATCTTAAAATTTTAATGGCCGGAATGTGAGGAGATTTTTTGGAGGGGACCCCAAACTCTAGGGGGCCCACAATGTTGCGTGGCCCTCTCTTGACGAAATCCTGGATCCGCCCCTGCCCAGGTCTCGCCTTCATAACAGACCCAGAGTGAGTGGAATTTGTTCATTCAGTTACTGTGCCGCCTAAGAAACCATTTCAGAGATGTGCGGCTTTGTCTAGCACTCCGTCGTATGATCAGATTGAACGGTCCCGTAGAAATCGTCTTCGCCGTATCCGTGGCCTCCCTTTCACCTGCTGTAGGTTATTGACCTTACAAGGAACATCTAAATCATGAATATTAAACTATCCACTGTTAAGTTGGCTAAGGCTTTGCTAAATTTGGCGCGGCCACGCCGGGCCATTTGGTTATCATTCAGCAAAAGCCTTTGGGAAGGGGGGGGGGGGGGGTTCAAATTGTTCTCAAGCCAAGCGGGCGTTAAAAAGTTAGCTGTCTGCTTTTGCGCGCAGAAATGTACTCACTGGGTTTTAAGGTGTTTTATCATAGCCTATTTCCTCATATTGTAACTGCATAATCGCTTTATCATGTACAATCCATTGGTAAAGACATTAAAGTGATTAGCGTACCATACTAGAGTAGGAGCTTGTATTCTTACAATGCCGCTTTTTAGGCTCCCCCAACCTTGCTGGTTAGCCGTTATTGCGGTCAAAATGAATATTCACGCAAATTTATATGTACTATTTTTTCTACAAAAGCTGCGATTAGCTAGTGGAATAATTTTAAAAATTACACTTTCAACGCAATTTTGATCAATTAAGTCAAAATTTGCAAAAAGATATGTTCACGCGTTGCCTGCTCACGACCGAGTCCTAATCGCATCAGCGTTCTCACCACTAAAGCGTATTTTGTTTGCAGAAATGGCGTCCTCGGACGTCGCAAAATGCTGTGACAACCCGGATTTCGCCGTTATATGCTCGTTTTTGGAAAAATTTGGCGGAAAATGTGGTATAGTGTATCCTCCATTCTCCCGGTTGCAGCAGATGCTAGAATCTACGGACGAAGGTGAGCTGTTTGAATGGATAAGTGTCAGTGGAAATGCCCGGCCGAAGCTGTGTGGTTTATGTTTGACGTGACATGTCTGAATGGACTGAAATATGCAACTGAGTGATATCACTTTGATGGTGTATTCCAGTGCTTTTACAGCAGCATGGAAACTTGAAATACATGGCTTGCATTATTTTATGATTGCTGGAACTGACAATTTGAGTGAATGATTTGATTTGATCCAGGTGTTTTTAGACATGCCAACAAAACATGCATGTTATGCCATGTATGATTGTTATGCTGAACTTTGCTGGACAGCAGTAATATCACATCCTGTGTTTCAGTGTGTGTGGTATCACTATATTTGCTAGGCAATCACAGGCAAAGTATTATCAAAACATTTTTCATACCAAAATTTCTGAAAATGCAACTCAATTTGGGCATGCCTGAGCTTGGCACTTGTTAGTGAGAGGCTCTGTGTACTGATGTTGTGTGGGTGTCCAGTGCAGTGGATGAATTTGTTATGGTCTGCTGCTTAGGTGGACTTCTTTCCCATGTTATACATAGACAGTTTGAAACTAAGTAAGAAGATGTATTATGGGTGGTGTTAACTCTGTAATGTGCCTTAGCCAACTGCTATGATGGTAACAGGAGCAACTGATTGTTGTCACATGCATGTGGTGCATAAGCATGACCTATTGAAATCAGTGACTCTTGAATGTTTAGGCATACTGTTCTTTTGATCCTGCACATTAAATATCTGGTGTGAAGGTATGTGGGTATTGGCCCATTAACACTTGGCAGCTTTGATAAGCTAAACAGGGTTCATTGTGGTCCATTGGAGGAACTGAGTTTGAATTGACATCTATTTGGCATGTCTGTGCCTGTGTGGATGTCATTCAAAGTAAGAGAGCTAAAAGGTTGCCATGCCCACTTGAAGTGAAGCAAGATTCCATGTGTCATGGTCGCATCAAAAGTGCTGAGCAAAGCTGGTGCCCATCTTGTGCTCTGGAGAAAATTGTCAAAATAGAGAACTGACAAAAGTTGTTTATTGATTGTTGGCATGTGACAGTAAACTTTGTGCTGTCAGCTGAACCTCTGACAGACTTCATGCAATCAGGGGTAGAGATCCAGAGGAAAGTGTCATTGGCCAAAGACTGGATGGCAGCATGGGCCCCACTATGGGATTTGTGATTTTGTGCTGAATGATGTGACTTGCAGGTGTATGCAAAGATCTGGACTCATGTTATCTAAGTGCCAGAAACAGTTAGCCAGCCAACCAGTTTGGTTGGTCAAGAGACTCAATATAGCTATTGAACAGTGCTTTTCCTGCCATGCACTCAGGTCATCTGATGAAATGTTAGCACAAACATGTGGAATGTGGAATGCTATGTGGAATAATGTGCAGAAAGTAAATACTTTGTGAATGCCTTTTACTGAGCTTTCCTATTTTGCCTCTCACAATTTGGTTGTTGCATATAATCCATGTCATGATGTCTGAAGAGCTGATTTTGACCATTTTAAAATGTATCATTTGTGCAGTCTAATGCTTGCCTGTGTAGTGTGTATCAGAAGGGTGGGTTTCACATCAAGCACTAAAAGAAATTTAGAGCTTGAGCCTGAACAACTGAAACATGTTTGTTATTGTTTTTGTGTTTGTTTGGTCTTACCAGGTAGAAGGAGTGTTGTCCTGTCACTTCCTGACTGTGATGGGATACATGATCATGAAGTTGCTAATTTCTTTTCTTTTGTGTAGCATTGTGGTTATCTGTTCTACATTATGAAGACTACCATGAGGATTTTCACCAACAATGTATCACAAGATGCTGTATCTATGCACAAACCTTAGCCCCCAGCTGCCATGAGCTTCTGATAATGGGCTCTGATTATGTTGCAGTCCACGATGCACTGAAGCACTTCCATATCCGACTGATGCGGAAGGCCCGGCGCCAGGTGAAGCCGGACCTCTGGGAGAAAGCACTCATCAGCTTCTGCAGGCCTGTGTCCAAGCAGGACGCCTGGGAGCTGGAGCGGTTTGGCTACAAGCAGGCAGATTTGGCAGTCAAACTGCGTGTGCTGAAGGTGGGTGCAGGGTGTGCCCAGGCTCCGCCGGAGCCCCTACCACCTGGCGGTCATGGTGGCATGCAGCCCCATGGGAGTGGTGCTCAACAGACAACTGCTGGGTCATTGGTGACTTGTCGATCTCTTGTGCACTGCTGGTCAGATCTACATGTGACATAGTCAAACTGCTAAATTTATAAAGTCCCCATTAGGGTTAAACTGAACTGGATATGCTCATAATGTGGGCTGCTGTGATGTTATGTCAATAGGTGTTCACTGAAGACTAATGCACACCAATTGTGTGAAACAATTGCTTAAGCAGTTGTGAACAAATCTGCACACTGGGCACTGCTGTGCTGTCCCTGCAGCTGTTTCCAAGTTTCTCAGGGGCTTCTGGTCTGATTTGCTTGATATGCTCACCACACACCACACATGCCTTCATCAGCTGTAGTTAAAGAGGTCACTGTGGACCAGACAGTAGTTGGCTGTTTATGGTGCATACATCCAATACATAGGTTAGTTAGTACCCACATAAGAATTGGTATGGTCATTCTGGTAAAGGTTATAAAAGTGCCAGGGAGTCAGAGCTATGTGCAGTATGTGAAATTTGGTTGTGTCTCATGGGGAGTGAGCACAACCATTTTAAAATAGCATCTTGTATGGAGAAGAACATACTATGAACAGGCTGGTCGCAGTGATTGACAAGACCATTGGAGATTGGCAGCTCGTGATTTCAAAAGTCTTTCCTTCTTAATGATAGGCTGATGTATGCTCTACTATTTAAAGCATGGAACAAATGGAAAGTTGTTTATAATGACAGTATTATTCGGGCAGGTGTGTGGGTTAATTAAAGAGAGTGTTGCTCATTTATATTGGGTTTGAACTGAAATGGCCATCTTGAGGATATTTCAGTACACTTCACAATCTTGCTGTCTTAAGACCTCAGACCCTCCAATTTCTTAGGTGCAGGCCCACCAAAAAGGGGAGAGATATAGCGGCGAGAGTCGCATTATATTTCAACGTCATCTTGGCATCCATGATGTCATAATAACTTTCAAAGCCTCCCATTCCATAAGCCATGTGACAATCAAGGCCAATAAAAATATATTTGTTAAGACATTCATATATGGTGCTCATGTGGGCACGGTTTTCAGATGTAACAGCTGTCAATTGGCTCTCAATCAATGTCGTGCTACATGTGATGATGTAATCAAACAATGGCACATTGAGAAGCATATTTGCTGAACAGGTAATCTTGCTGTCTAGAACAGTTTTCCACATAAAAAGTATACCCAATAGCTTGAGTCAGTTTGTATCATCATATCTGATGCTTGCTTCAATATCTTCAAATGTGAAACATTCCTGTTAAGACCGACTGATACCAGTGCTTAAAATGCTGTGCACCTGTGGCATGATTTCCTGGGACATTCGTAACAACTTATTGATAGAGATGTTATGCAAGCCACTGTAATATAGATAAAACATCTGGCACACAGTAGTTTGTGCAGCTACCTACCACCCAAGGCAGTGTCTTTCTCACCCAAGGACAGATGACAAAGGAACATGATACCCACCGAGGCATCCACGGACCTAGATATGTCGAATTTGGGACTGGGGGTGTAGTTACCGGCCCAGTTGGATAAAACTCTGTCCCCTTCTCCTCCCCCAACTCTGTGAAGAAAAAAATTGGTTAAATCCAGGGAAAAACATTGTTTTGCTATTTATTTGGGTTTAGTGATTTGCTCTGCCCACCCTCCCCAAGCTGACATGAAAAAGTTCACCATCTGAAATGGCCCGAAGGTCAGTGCAGTAGCAACGGAGGTCATTACTTCATCATGGAACAAGCCAGCCCTTCAAAGTTAGCATCCGCTAGTTCCACTCACCGACATTGAGCCAGATACGATGCTATCCTCAGTGTATGATGCTGGGCGGAATTGATATGTAGTCTTTACCTGTATTCTGTACAAATTCCACTGTCACTGTCCGACACTGCTCTCGCCTCGCACGGCTCTTCTAAACACACGTCGGAAGCCTAGCATACCGTAGAAAGGCGCGCACAGGGGAGCAGTCTTCAAATATAGAGCCGCTAGCAGTTATGTGTTGGATTGGCTATTACTTTTCTAGGCTCTTACTTTTCTACAAATGTTTAGAAATTATTTACGATATCCTGCAAAATAAAACTTTCAACCCACATGATATCAAGAGATTTCAAGAATTTCACATTGGCAATCAGCAGGCCGCTCAACTGAGACGAGAAACCCTTTGTTTACGTTATATTCACACCACAATTTGGTGGCGATGCCCTGTACATGGATGAAAAAAACTGCACACTTTTATCCATCGCCACTTTTTTGCGTTTTCATCTGGTATTCAGCTTATATTTCTGTGTGGAAAATATGCATTCTTTCCAATGTTAAATCCTCCCAAGAGCCGGAGACTTCGGAGCTGTTTATTCCGCGTGCCCAAGCGAGTGTTTAAGATGGTGTTTGATGTCGCTATTATGCCTTATATACAATTTCTGTATTTTTATAGGTTTAAATGGACACTGGATGCCGGTGGCGTTAGACAAGTGTTAGGCCTAATTGATACCGAATATATGATGAATTTACGCTATACACACGCACACTCGCAGGCACGCACGCACTCACGCACGCACGCACGCACGCACGCACGCGCGCGCGCACGTTTGATTAGAAATGTCCAAGCACATGTAAACTGTGATTCTTAAGGTGGCATTTCAGGTCCTTTTTATGATCCTCTTTGCGCTTGTTTACCACGCAACTCGATTTTACTGCAAGAAAAGTTATGCCGATTGCTTACCACAGCAGCCAGGTTTCACCAGCGAAACTATGGATGCATACCCAAGTGTTCCATCCTTTGCTTCTGGAAGGCCTCTATCGCCCAAGGCCTTTAATATTACACTGTCGACCACGCCAACTCAATACTCTCCATTGCTACCGCGTGTCGCCCGACCCGCATTGCGTCATACCTGCACCGAAATCCGTTGAAACTGCCAGCAGCGGGGATAGTCAAAGCGTTGGTAGCCGAATGATGTAAGTGGGCTTGAAAGATTTGTGAGGGACTCCTTTCTTATGTATTGTTATGTTATCTCAAGATTTGTTTTGAATGTAGGGACATGAAAGTTAAAGGGCCATGAAACCAAATAACTTCGCCCTGTTTTTGACGTAAATAGAGAAGCAGGAAATAAAGGCAATTCTTTTTTATGGAAGTGGATAACTTTGTTTAAGTAATGTGCCTGTGGATAGAGCAAAACATCATTTGAAGATGCCTCCCTGGACCCAATTATGCCCAACGTTAGGTCCCACTGGTGACCCGCGTCGACCCAGCACTATATGTCGCAACACCTCGTTCTGCGGAGAACATCATCGAGTCGTTAAGAACAAGTTCGTTAAGCACTGAAATATTATTCGAATGCACAGTTATTGGCAAATTCTGTGGCTAAATGCACCATTGTCGACCACACTACGAATCACATTGTGGGCCACGAGCGATCGAGACCCGCCTATTTGCTGGACCTAGCCGTCAGCAGCGCATCGATCGACTGTTGATAGACGTTGCTACGTCAACAACGATGACTTGTTAACAAGCGCACTTACTTCGGCTCTGCCGAGTAGGGTGTGGGGTCTAGGCCGTAACGGTAGGTAAAGAAAGTGGGCTTGCTCTGAGGTACAGAATTGGCTTCCATTTTCCAATGAAGAGAATAGAGAAGTGTCAACATCCGCAGCAGAAGATGCTGTACCGTGCGCGTGACTTGCCGCTGTACCGTGCGCAGATACAGCCGTCATCAGACCGTAGCGCCAAAATGGCTATGGGGGGGGGGGGGGGTCACCCAGCGACTAACGGCTAAGGATGCGTCCAGCGGACTAGCTGGCGTATTTCGGAATGTTATGCGGATTTTCGTGGCATTGTGTCACTCCGCCGGGGTCATGTTAGCCATCCCGACTTAGGCGTAGGACACCCATATTTGGGGGCGAGAGCAGGGATAGATCTGTGATTTCACAAAAAGTAGCAGCGGTAAACGTAATGAGTGGTTGGCTAATCTTTGCTAAGAAACTGCTAAGTATTATACTTCAACGCCGTGGTTTATGTCGCATTTGGGTCACTTTAGGTCCCTCGGAAAATGTTTTAGTTTGTGTTCATTAAAAACTAGCAAATTTCGCATATTTTCGCTGATGGTGGAAGGGCAGGCTGTATGAACCTCCCTCCCTTGCGTCCTCTCGGGAGGGTAACATTGAATTTTTCGGCGGCAAGTCTTAAATATTTACCCAGCATGAAAGACGTATCCTTGAATTTGTCAAGTATACGCCCCTGTATGAACGAGGGAGAGGGGGGGGGGGGGGGGGGGTAGAGGTGTGTATGGTGGGAGACCAGCACGCCCAATACGTACACCCCTTTTCCTGTTTATTGAGGCTAGGATGGCAACCGCAAATTGACTGTCACACTTGGCGTGCCCTAAATCCCCCCCCCCCCCCCCTCCTCTCTAGGATGACAACTGAATAGCTTTCAGCTACAAGGTGTATGTGATGGTATGCATTGGACCAGATTCTTGGAATACTGAGTTTGAAAGTGGTTGTTGGGTGAAGATGAAAATTTTATTTTTTAGTCGAGTCGTCTTTGTTGCCATTCACAAAACCCATACATACTACACAGGTATGTCAGTATCAGGTATTATTTGTAGAGCAGGCTTCTCTGGTGCTGTAACTTACAAAATGCAAGTTTCCAGTGTTTTAAAGGTAAATATATGCCCTGTTGTGAATGAAGTAAGCACACTGTTTTATACCTAGACTGTAGTATAAGTCAGCAGCAATCACTTCTATAATTAGACCTGCAGATCCCTATTCATATGCAGAAGTTAGGAGCCACTACTTTTTATCCAGATCTGCAAGTCCCCATTCATGTCTAGACATGTTGGGCAAACATGGTGTCAAAAGGCGGTGGCCGTAATGTGATTTGTGTCGCCTATCCAAACTCACAAAGGAACATGATTGTAATTGGTATGGAAGAAGGCATTCACCTGGTAAAAGGTCCTGATGAATCGGGAAAGATAACAACTCAAAAAAGAAATGAGGACGTGGAGAAGCCCCTCCCCCTCCTTTCGCTAACGCCGAGGATGGGCATTAGTTTAGGAACATGTCATAATCATAAGCGGAGGGGGGGGGGGGGGCTGACAATTTCGAAGTTCGAACCATTTTATGTAGCGTTAGACTTCCTTAATTTAGCGTTAGACTTACGGCGGTGCACGGAAAGAAACGACGCAGCGCCTCTGAGCCACCCTCCTACAAGCCTGGTCAACTTCCCCTGCTCCTGGCATTACAGCTACTCATACCCTTCTGGAGCTGAGGGCAAGGCGAGAGGTCTGCTAGTAAAAATGATTTACCGCCAAGCTCTTGTAAGGCCTTACACATTTCTTAATATTTTAATGACTTGTGCTTCACAAATTCCAGGGTCCCGATGGCCTGGGCTAATGTCTAGGAGGGGGTTAGGGGGCAGCCGCGCCCTATTTCAGACAATATGTAACATTAACTGTACGGTGATGTACGGAAAGAGACCAGCTGAACTCGGCGCTGCCCCTGCCCTTCTCCGCCGCCGGTCTGTGATCACTGACAGCACCAACAAGCCCGATTATTTCAAAGATGACAAGTGGCAACCAACTGCAGCTAGACGTTAACATCATTGCATGTGCACGTGCACCCTCTGCTATCGCAGATTCAGAAGCGTTTACATGCCTGTGTACTTTAGGAGCTTTGATGCGGTGCTGACATATATTGTCTGACCAAAAAGGGCGGCATCCTCAATTTAAAGTCTACAGCACAGCACGGTATCTAAATTCTCTGTTCCACTGCCCTCCGTGGTAAAATTGGTCTCGTAGCCAATCTAGCCCCTCTCTACCCATCCCTCACCTCTTTCCCGTCCCCGTCCCCCCCCCCCCCCCCCGCCCAAAGGTGGATCACGGAGTTCGGTTCCCTGCGGGGTCCAGGCTTCCTTCCAGGGTGAGACAGGCGATGCCATTATGCCACTTTCATTATAAAGCCCGGGCAGCAGACCGTTTGTCATTACGTCTTCATGCCAAAGGTATTCAGAACAGGGACGAATAAGCGCTCAGAGGATGAGCCCTCAGATAACCAGTACGGTGCGTCAATACTGCTGCCAAATTTAAACGTCTGTTACTTGAGTTGGCCACTTATCTGTACTCTCTTCCTATTCTGCGGGTGCAGGAGGCATATCGAATTTCATTGAGTGGTTGGCCGTGGGTACCGTGCTTGCCGCCGCACGTACCGATGCTGAACCTGTGCCATTGCAGAACCTGTGTGAGGTGCAGTTCGACCGCAACAAGCGGTTCAAGGACGAGGTTAACAAGGAGGCGGCGTGCGAGCTGCGCCTGCAGCCGCTGGGGCGTGACCGGCATGGCAACAACTACTGGTACCAGCTGGACGAGGACTGCCAGCTGCGCATCTACAAGGAGGACATCGACGACGAGACGTGGCAGGTGGTGGCCGAGTGAGTCCAGACCCGGGGGTCGAGTCGGCAGCCAGCGCCCCGAATCATATGCAGGGGACAGGTGTGACTCCTGGTGGTACTGTGTTGTGCCTGGGTGTTGGGTCACGTTTTCAAAGGGTCATAGATCGTTGCCTGCCCGGGTGCTCGGGATTCGTGCAGGGAGCCGGGCTGTTATGGCGGTGGTCTTTGGTTGAAGAGACCTGGCCTCGATCCTAGTGACAGGAAGCCTGCAGCAGCCCTCGTTTCCTCCAGTGCGTGACGATGTTGGTGTCCCAGGTTAGGCACATGTGTCGGCACATGACCCGGCCAGGGTTACGAAGTGCACACTGAACTGTTGAGCGCAGTGAGTGAGGGCGTCTGACCGCCTGTCGGCAGGGACCGCGAGAGCATGAAGGCGCTGATACAGAGCCTGCAGTCGGACTCGCCGCTGGGCAAGTCGGAGGATACTTCGCAGGCCAACAGCGAGGAGGAGCTGCTGCAGGGTCCGCCGGCGTTCAAACGGGAGCCGCCGGACCGGCCGGCCGACCTGGTCCGGCCCACTGCTGGCACAGATGACCAGGCCCGGCCGGCCGGCGCTGACGCGTCCCCTGCGGCCGGCGGCGACGGCGGGCCGGTGACGGCAGGTACCGAACAGGCGGCGCTCAGTCACAGGGAAGAGACAGCGGCCGATGGTGAGGCTGAGCAAGCAGCCAGTAGTGAGGCCAGCAAACGGACGAAGGCTGAGACGGTGGACGATGTTAAAGAGGAGCCTCGGGTTGGAAGTGTGGAAGAGGCGGTGTGTGCAACCGAGGGAAGCCCGCCAGCTGGAGGCAAGATCCGCCGATCATCCAGTGACGGAAAGCTAGGGGCTGGGGCTGAGGCAGAGACGACGGCGGCTGAGGAGGGGCTGGTTACCAGTGGTAAGTCTGAGTCGGTGACCGATGGCAAGGTCGAGCCAGAGGCCGCAGGCGAGTCTGAACCAGAAGCTGATGAAGACCCAAAGGCCCGCGGAAGACGGATAGCGGCCGACGATGAGAGGAGGCCAGTGGTCGGTGACGAGAAGCCATCGGCCGCTGGTGATACAAAACAGGAGGTTGCTGGCGAGGCGGAGAGATCGTCTTCGCCGACTGCCGCTGCCGATGTAAAGTCGGTGGATGCGACAAGCCACTGCCAGCCCCCTGAGTCCGGGGAGCTGGTACATGGCGGGGGCGACATGGGAACTGAAAGCGTGTCGGTGTCATCAAAAGGCGTGGTGCCGCTGGACGCGCGCGCCGCGCCAACTGCGAGCGACCGTATGTCGGGCGGGGCGCGGGGTTCGCCGGAAAAGCCGGCGGCCGCGTCCGGGGAGCCCAGCAGTGAGCAGGTCCCGGCCACAGACGCGCCTGCCGCTGGTGTGAGTGTTGCGACAGCTGCCGAGTGCGGCGTGAAGGCTTCGGTCAGTGTGCTGCCGCCGTCCGTCTCGGCCACGGAGGAAGGTGAGCACCACTCAGAACTGGTGCATAGTCCTGCGACGGGCGCTGGGGACCGGCCGGCGACCCCGTCTTCACATCTACCCAGGAGCACGGGCGAGCCGCCAACTGAGCCTGTCGCCGCCGGCCGGCCGGGCCGGGCCGGGCTGGGCGAGCAGGCCGGCTGTGACGCAGCAGAGCTGGCGGTGACAGCCGCTGACGGCCACGTCAAGACCGAACAGACGATGTCAGCGCCGCCGGTGGTGGCCGAGCCCGAGTCGTTCCACTCTGAGGAGACGGGAGTGCTCCCTGAACCCATCACAGAAACTGTGGTGAAACCCGAGCCAGCTGTGAAGGCCGTACCTGAGGCTGCTCCAGTTGTGGATTCCATGGTGAAAGCCGAGCCAGCTGTGGAGGTCGCGGTGGGCCCTGAGGCTGCATTGAAGGTCGTGACGGACCCTGAGCCAGCTGTGGAGGCCGTTATTAACCTTGGGTCAGCTGTGGAGGCTGTGGCGGACACTGAGCCCGCTGCGGAGGCCCTGGCGGACACTGAGCCTGCTGTAGAGGCCGTGGCGGACACGGAGCCGGCTGTGGAGGCTGTGGCGGACACTGAGCCTGCTGTGGAGGCCGCGGCGGACACTGGGCCAGCTGTGGAGGCCGCGTCGGACACTGAGCCAGCTGCGGAGACCGTGGCGGACACTGAGCCTGCTGTGGAGGCCGTGGCGGACACTGAGCCTGGTGTGGAGGCCATGGCGGACACTGAGCCTGCTGTGGAGCCCGTGGCGAGCACTGGGCCTACTGTGGAGGTCCTTGCGAGCGCTGAGCCTGCTGTGGAGGCCGTGGCGGACCCTGAGCCTGCTGTGAAGGCCGTTGTTAACCGTGAGCGAGATATGGAGCCGGTGGCAGACACTGAGCCAGCTGTGGAGGCCGCGGCGGACATTGAGCCTGCTGTGGAGGCTGTGGCAGACACTGAGCCTGCTGTGGAGGCCGGGGCAGACACTGGGTCTACTGTGGAGGCCGTGACGAGCACTGGGCCTATCGTGGAGGCCGTGGCAAGCAGTGAGGCTGCTGTGGAGGCCTTGGCGAGCTCTGAGCCTGCTGTGGAGGCCGTGGCCAACATTGAGCCAGCTGTGGAGGCCTTGGCGCACACTGAGCTTGCTGTGGAAACCGTGACAGACAATGAGCCTCCTGTGGAGGCCGTGGCGGACACCGAGGTAGCCTTGGGGGTCTTGGCGAACAATGAGCCTCCTGTGGAGGCCGTGGCGGACACTAAGCCTACTGTGGAGGCCGTGGCGAGCACTGAGCCAGCTGTGGAGGCCATGGTGGACACTGAGGAGGCCTTGGTGGACACTGAGAAGGTTGTGGCGGACGCTGAGCTAGCTGTGGAGGCCGTGGTGGACACTAAGCCAGCTGTGGAGGCCGTGGTGGGCACCGAGCCAGCTGTGCAGGCTGTGGTGGACACTGAGCCAGCTGTGGAGGCTGTGGCGAACCCTAGTGAGATCCACTCGCAGGTTGCTTTGGCACCAACGGAAGACGTCGCCAGTGCAGAGCCTGGACTGCTGGAGGAGAGGCCAGGCAGCTCTCAGCCCATCACATCAGCTGTTCGCACGGGTGGCGCCGACTCCACCCAATCGGAGGAGCCTTCAGCGGCAGATGCACGCGTGGGCCGTGGTACCGACCGGACCGGAGCGAACTCTGACACCGCTTGCTCTCCGTCAGAGATGGAGGGGGCGCCCGACTCTTCGGAGCCGCCGCCGCCGCCGTCGTCTAATGGACGTTCGGTCAGCTCTGCCGATGCTCCGCCGGCGACTTCGGAGCGCCCCGACTTTGTGGCGGAGCATTCCGGAGAACGCTCTGAGTGCGTCACCACGTCGGAGGCGCCGGAACGTGGCCGCGACATCAGCAGGTGCGAAGCCAGCGGTGTCTCGAGCCCGCCTCCTGAAGACGCCGAGGCGAGAGCGAGCTCCGGGAAGCGGGCGGAACCGTGCGCGCTGGAGTCGCGGCATCAGCCCGTTCCCGGGGAGGCGTCACCTCCAAGCCAACAGCGGGGCGGTGGAGGGGTCGGTACGGCCGCAGTAGGAAGCACGAGCTGTTGTGACGGGGACGCGGCGGAATCTGTGGCAAACGCGCCAGACGGCTCCAGTGAGGCGGTGAGCTCGGCAGGTGGCCCCGGACCGGGCCGCTGTTCGGAGGAGGCGCGCGGCCAGTCGAGCCCGCAGCCTGGAGTGGCGGACACGAGTACGGTCGACGCGCGACCAGAGGGTGCTGACGTGGCTGCCGCCGCGGCCACGGTCAACGTGTGGGCGTCGAAAGCCGCCGTTGACGTCGCGGGCAGCCCCCAGTCTTCGGCCGTTGGTGAGCGACAGCCGGACGGGACCGGGGGCGGGCGGCGGCTGGCAGCGGACGTCGATGACGGCGTCTCGAGCAGCGCCGCCGGTCCGCCAGCAGCTCCGCGGCCGGTTGCCGCCGCTGATGGCACTGCGCCCGTATTGGAGGGCGAGTCTGGCGCAGGCGCGACTAGCGGCGGCTCGGCGGAAGTGGTTACGTCAGGTGCGGACTGCGGCGGCGCTGTGGAGGAGCCGGCCCTGTTGGTGTCAGGCTCCGGCTCCGGGGCGGACTGCGAGGGCGGTGTGCCGCCGGGCTGGGTCAGCGAGGCCGTGGAGGAGCCGGCCCTGTTGGTGTCAGGCTCCGGCTCCGGGGCGGACTGTGAGGGCGGTGTGCCGCCGGGTTGGGTCAGCGAAGCCGTGGAGGAGCCGGCCCTGTTGGTGTCAGGCTCCGGCTCCGGGGCGGACTGTGAGGGCGGTGTGCCGCCGGGCTGGGTCAGCGAGGCCGTGGAGGAGCCGGCCCTGGTGGTGGCTGGCAGCGGCTGGGGTGCGCTCTGTGGTGTCGGCAACGGTGTTCAGCGTCGCCGGGCCAGCCGCAGTGCCGCGGGCAACAATGGCCATGCCGAGCCGCCGTCGGCTGACCGACGCGACAACGGCGAGGCGGACCAGCCCCAGGCCGAGCCAGAGGCCGAGCCTGAGGCCGACCCAGAGGCCGACCCAGACCCGGAGCCGCCGGCCGGCAAGAAGCGCGGTCGCAAGAGGAAGAGCGAACTCGAGAGTCTGGTCTCAGCTGACGCCGACGCCGACGGTGAGTGGCGGTGGTGTGCTGGCCGCCTCTTGTGGCGGTTCATCCCGTAACTATCGATAGTTCGATTGGCGTAGCTCTCAGGGAATCTACTTAATGCTTTGTTTGGTTGTACCGTCCAATGTGTGTGGGTGATTTACAAGGTAGGTCATCTGAGAACGCTGCGTATGTCGCTTCTAAGTCTAAATAGTCGATGGCTTTGAAAGCTAAAGGCCACATTCCAGAGCTGCCGCCTGATTTGTGGCACAGGGTGGTCAGTTGCAGACTGCATTGTAGCTTTCGATCTGCGGCTTTCGCAGCTTGTCTGGAGTGATACCAGTCAGTGTTGTCTGGTGTGGTAGCCGTCAGTGTTGTCTGGTGTGGTACCCGTCAGTATTGTCCGGCGTGGTACCCATCCGTGCTGTCTGGTGTGGTACTCGTCAGTGTGATGTGGTGTGGTACCCATCCGTGTTGTCTGGTGTGGTACCCGTTCATGTTGTCTGATGTGTCCGTCAGTGTTGTCTGGTGTGGTACCCGTCCGTGTTGTCTGGTGTGGTACCCGTCAATGTTGTCTAGTGTAGTACCCGTCAGTGTGTCTGGTGTAGTACCCATCAGTGTCTGGTGCGGTACCCGTCAGTGTTGTCTGGTATGGTACCCGTCAGTGTAATCCGGTGTGCCGGACGGTAACTGACCTCTGGTCTCGTGCCTCTGCAGAGGGTGGTGCCGGCCGGCGCCGCTCGTCCCGCGTAGCCAAGCTACGCGAGAAGGAGGAGGAGCAGCGCCGTGTGGACGAGGAGCAGCGGCTGCGCGTGCTCAAGGAGCAGGCCGTGCTGCGCAAGCTGCGCCAGCACGAGCGTGAGACCCGCCGCGCTCAGCGCAAGGACAAGAAGAAAAAACGACGGCAAAAGAAAGTCGAGCGTGGCCAGGAGCAGGAGCAGCCGACGGAGAAGGCAGGCAAGAAGAAGCGCAAGAAAAAGAAGAAAAAGAGGGCGGGAAACGATCCATGGCTGTCCTCATCAGACACCAGGTAAGCACACCGTAGCCTTGTTTATGGCACACACTCGGTGCCTGTCGATATTATTCGTAACTGCATGACCCTGTGCTGTATATAGGTGATGCTCGTCTGCTAGGCTGTCTGCAGTATATTATACTGAATGCGGTATCTTGGAAGTGGAGATGATGATGTACGAAAGCCTTTGCCGTCTTTCGAGGCAAAGAATCTGCCGCTCCAGTTGATACAGCTGATAAGTTCTGGCAACCGGACGCGTCGTAAGAGCTTTGGCCCATTGAGTATAGTGGGTTGCGTTTGTATTCGGACCTCTCCGTAATCCCTCCAGTGGCGATGGCAGCGTTAATTGCGGCTTGGAAGCGGCGTGCGCCCTTGAGCTACCTCTTGATACTGAAGTCAGTCCCGCGCCGACAGCTCCAGCTCCGACGAGGACGAGGAGATGGAGCTGTTCGCGCACCACGAGGCCGGCGACGAGGACCCGTTCCGCTCCGACCATGAGTTCTCGCCAGAGGTCCGAAAACGACCAGGAATGGGTGCCCGTTCAGCACGCGCGCACCGCCCGCTCGGCGCGTAACAGGCGCGCACCGCCGGTGTGAGTTCTGCCACGCCTCGGCCGCCCCGGCTTGCCGGTCATCTGAGCGGCGCGCTGAGTAAGGCGGCGGGCCGCCGGCCCGCGTGTCCAGCCACGCCTCCACTGTCCTCGACCGGCTGGTTGCGATGCTGGAAGACGACTGTCTGGTGTTCGCCCTGCAGGAGGCTGAGGACGCTGCCGCCGAGGTGTCGGACGAGGACGAGGACGATGCCTGAGGACGAGCCGGACCAGGAGGATCAGTGTCGCAAGTGCGGCCACGGCGACCACCCTGAGTACAATTCTGCTCTGCGACGGCTGCAACGGCGGCTGGCACACCAACTGCGTGCGCCCGCCGCTGCTCAGCATACCGGAGGGCAGCTGGTACTGTCCTCCCTGCGAGCACGTGAGTCAGTGCGCTCAGACACCGTCGCCGGGCGAGAGGTCTCAGGTGCCGGGAGCCGCTTACAACTCAGCCTGCTACATGCGTAAATAGGCTGTTCTTGATAAGCTTGTCGTTAACCGTTTAACCCGCACGAACAGAGCAAGGAGCATTCCGAAACGTGTATCGACCAGAAGGCGTGTTCTTGATGGTTTTGGCTTGGCAGCCGTTTAAAAACTCGCCTTGTCTGTCCGGAACGTCTTATGAATGAGTGCTGTCCAAGTTCTGGCTCCTCGGTCGCCCTCCGTAGCCACATTTTGTTGGCTGCTAATCCGTTGCCCTTTGAAAGTGAGGTTCCGACCTATCCACCCGATTTGCCAAGCCCGGGGCGTCTGTGTTCTGGACTGACCGCCGCCCAGCTCAGTCTTGCTGATTGGTCGATCCCGAGTGAGGCCAAGCAGCGGCAGGTAATAGTGTTCTGGATTGACCGCCGCTCAGCTCAGTGCTGATTGGTCGATCCCGAGCGAGACCAGCAGCGGCAGGTAACATGCATTGACGGTGAACCCTTATCCGGGGGTGCGAAAGCATTGGAGTTGTCGACATCCTTGCCACCGCGGTGGCCGAATGTGTCATGCTCGTGCCTGGTGGTTTGTTGACTAGTCCGAAAGGGCTGGTTGGTACCATGTGTGTCAGGTGGACGCAATGCAGTATCCTGGCCGAAAATTTGTAGATTAGGATAGAGAGCACTCAGCTGGATGCGTGAGGACGCATAAAATTTGGCCCACTGGAAGACGATTCCCAGTCAAATGCATCAAACGCTACGGCGTTTTCTTCTGATTCGCGCCGTCGCTTTCTGTTTGCTACTAGTGTTCGCTTTATGCTGTAATAATTTGGCAAAGCTTGTATACAGCATATGCCCTATGGTATGCGACAGCCCGCTAATTGTACTTTTTATAGCGGCGTCATTTGCTCCGGATGTGTCTGCTTTGAAAAGCTGCTTTGTATTTATGGCAGCCTTCCACTTTCAGGAAAACGGGATTTACCAATTTTTTTCGGTGGTCCTAGTGCTTTTGACACAGCTGAACAGTATGTGTGTGCTTCTGGATTTGACGATGGTGCGACGCCGCTGGTGGTCGTCGTTTCACGCGCGCGGGAATGACTTGCACTGCCGCCGTGCCCGTGTTATGTTCAGTCCTCTGACAGTGCCGACGTGCCCGTGTTATGTTCAGTCGGCTGACAGTGCCGACGTGCGCCGTGTTATGTTAGTCGGCTGACAGTGCCGACGTGCCCGTGTTATGTTCAGTCGGTGACAGTGCTGACGTGCCCGTGTTATGTTCAGTCGGCTGACAGTGCCGACGTGCCCGCGTTATGTTTAGTCGGCTGACAGTGCCGACGTGCCCGTGTTATGTTCAGTCGGCTGACAGTGCCGACGTGCCCGTGTTATGTTCAGTCGGCTGACAGTGCCGACGTGCCCGTGTTATGTTCAGTCGGCTGACAGTGCCGACGTGCCCGTGTTATGTTCAGTCGGCTGACAGTGCCGACGTGCCCGTGTTATGTTCAGTCGGCTGACAGTGCCGACGTGCCCGTGTTATGTTCAGTCGGCTGACAGTGCCGACGTGCCCGTGTTATGTTCATCGGCTGGCAGTGCTGACGTGCCCGTGCTGTCGGCAGGGTCGGCTGGTCAGCGCTCTGGTGCAGCGGTTGGAGGAGTTTGACGTGGCCTTGAAGCAGCGCGACAACGACCTGCTGCGCAAGCAGCGGCTCGATTACGTCAACATCAGTATGGGGGAACGTGCTGCCCAGCCGCCCCGGCCACCCAAACGCTCCAAAGCTGTGAGTGGCCGGCAGCTTGCTGCTATCACGACTTGCTATCTCTCCTTTCTGCACGAATGCGGATCTGGTATGAATACGGACACACAAAATGAGAAGTGCGTCATCGGATCACCGATTGAGCGTTATTTTATATGATGTACCCGGTTTGAATTGCTTTGGGAGTCTGTCTGGTTGGGTGGGTGTTCGCCACATGCAGACGTCACCTGTCGTTGCCGTCGGCTCGCTTCCTCCAGTATGTATTGCGGTGCACGTGCGCCGTATTCGTCGGCGGCCAATCGTTAACGCATAGAGTGAGGGCCTAAGCGTGTCTTAAAGTGGCTGTCACCAGCGGCGGTCCGTCCACGTGGCGGCCCCTGCATTGTGCGCCTGTCGCCTTGGCTCGTCGCCGTTACCGTAGTGCCCAGTGCGTGGCAATGGTGAGAGCTGCCGCCGCGTTCGCCAGGAGGACGAGGGCTCGGACGCGTCTGTGGGCGGCGACGGCAGCAGCTCCGACGACGAGTCGACCGACGAGGAGTCGGACGAGTCGGACGAGGCCAGCGAAGACTCGGACGATTCGGACGAGCCCATCTACACGTTGCGGGCGCGCCGGCCCGCCGCGGAGATCAGTCAGAAGGTCAAACAGTTCGACGAGATGATCGACGATGCCATACGGGTGAGTGTGACCAGGGTCAGATGGTGGCACCGTACAGGTGAGTGTGACCAGGGTCAGGTGGTGACGCCGTACAGGTGAGTGTGACCGGGGTCAGGTGGTGAAGCCGCGCAGCAATGTTGGAAAACTTGACGTTTCCTGGTATAATGTACACCAGGAGGTTTTGTACCCCAGGGTTGTGACTAGGTAAAATGGAATATTCTGTACTCCGATATGATGCAACAAGAACAACTTTTGGAAAACTCATTTTACCTCTTTTGTGTCAGGACAAAATATAACCAGAAGGTGCAACAGCTTGAGACTTGCTGCTTCCATCAGGAGCCACGTATTGATATCTGGGAGAGCACAAATCTTGCACCCACCAGACTAAGATGCCCATTAGCAAGCAGCCTGTGTTGCCACCTAGGTTTATGATAAACCATGTATGGAAATGTGAAAAATAAAGCGTGTGAATGTTGAGTGGAATCGCCTTTGAACAATACCGGGAAATGGGAAACGAGTACCAGAATCGCACCGGTCTGTAGATTAGCAAAGCTCGTACTTCCTATGCCCGATGCAGACCAACCCAAATTTGAACATGGCTTAACCTACCGTTGACGACGAACCGCATTAATTGCCAGGGATGCAACGAACATTCATAGAACATCGCATGCCCAACCACCTACCGCAGACGGCCGCCTACCCACGCGCCACCACTGTGTCATGGCAATGCGAACAAGACAGAATCACTCGCAATTCAGCGTCGAAAACGCCTCAACTATTCAGCGGCATGCGCCCGCCTCCCAGCCCAGGTTGGAGGTTGAACATAGCAAAACTCTTCAATCGGTTTTAATGATTCGCCTCTTCGTGGCTGATTTGTCAAGAGCATAAATATTC